TATATATATATATATATATATATATATATATATAGCATATAATATAGAGAAACAGGACAGACCCCAGATCAGCCGGCGCAGTTCACATGCGCCTGTTTTTCGATGGCCTGGAGGCAGCTAGAGCTGCCTCTAAGCTGACGGGACGTAAGCAAAGTTTAGCTGTGGCTAGCTGTAGCTTTCTGTAGCTAGCTGTAGCTAGCTGGTACGCGGTATAGGTGGGTGTTACCTGCGGCGGAGATGGGTGGAGATTGCGGGTACTGGGGTAGTATTTACACGGAAGGGAATGCTGAGATGGACACGTGTATGGCGTACATACAGATAAGGGTTATGCAGATGCATGTAAACTATAGAAATATATACTAGCTACGGTGTCCATACACCACAGAACTTGAATATGTGGGTTCACGGGTGGGGCCTATGCCGACGTATTCAAGTTATAGAAGCGTAGACTAGCTCAGCTATGCATACACCCCAGTACTGGACTATACAGGTGCACTGCAGCCATAGAAACATACACTCGTTCGGGCGTATATACATCCGACGGTGTCAGAGGGCCCTGCGTGACGCCACGCATATTATTTTCCTCGCCTTTGTGTTGGTGTTGACGCTCTAGCCGGTTTGTCTAAGGAACGTTTGTCTACTTACAGTGGATACACGCTGACTGTAAACCCTAAAACCCTAAACCCTCATACACCCTATGTAGCCGCTCAGCCCCAGGATGTCCTGTACGTTGTTGTGTCCTGTACCTCGTTGGTATAAAGCCGAGTATAACGCGAAAACTACCAAATAAAAATAAAAAATTATTATTATTATTATTATTATTANATTATTATTATTATTATTATTATTACTTAAATTTATTTTAGTTTGGACGGAGTTGGGAGCCAGCTGCCGAGGTCCACGTGGCGTGCTCAAGTATATGTATATACATACACTCTATACGCGGCGGCCTGCATAGCGTTTGTGGGGTTCTGTTGTTGAGAGCAACGAAGTGAAAATATTAAAAGGAGAAAAGAATAATAAATAAAGAAAAAATATTTTGAATTAAATATATGTATATTTAGCCTTACGTTGCCTCTGCCTCTGCACACATACACACAGCTCCACGCCTCTGCAGCGTTTTCGGCTGCATGCTGTTTTGCGTTGTGGTGTGGCTGCGGGTGTTTTCTGTTTTCGTTTTCTCTGAGAGTATTTCGTTATTTAACTCAATTATTTTATTTTTCTTTTCTTTAATTCTTTCGATAGATTTCGAATCCCCCGTTCAGGAGCGGCAGCGCTGTGCCGCTAGGACCCATCCAGCAGCCCCCTCCCGATGGCTCAGGTGCTGTTAGACAGCGACGGGCTGCCTTGCGTGGCAGCTGCGTCTCTCTCCTCTTCCTCCTCAGCAGCAGGAGCAGCAGGAGGCCCCTGTGCAGCAGCAGTAGCAGGGGGCGCAGCAGGAGATTCCAATGAGGTGCAGACAGGCACAACGATCGTGGCTTGCTGCTATGCAGGGGGCGTGGTGCTAGGAGCTGACTCGCGTACATCTGCAGGGTCTTACGTAGTGAACCGAGCAGCCCGCAAGATAACCCGCTTGTCGGACCGCATCTGTGTGTGCCGCAGCGGCAGCGCAGCAGATACACAAGCGTTGGCTCAGATAGCGCGTGTACAGCTCCAGATGTATAGCCAGGAGCTGCCTCGACAGTATGAAGGTGCAGCTCGTGTACGTGTTGCTGCTCATCTGCTTCAGAAGTTATCTTATGAATATAAAGATGTACTAACAGCCGGTCTTATAGTAGGTGGATGGGACCCAGTTGAGGGCCCCCAGGTGTTCTCTATCCCTATAGGGGGCAGCTGTATCCCTGTGAAGTATACTGCTGGTGGCTCTGGGTCTGTGTTTATTACAGCTTTCTTAGATGAACACTTCAGGCCAGACTTAACCAAAGAAGAAGCAATGCAACTCGTCTCCAAAGCCGTCGCCCACGCAATCCACAGAGACGGCAGCTCAGGCGGCCTCATCCGCCTCGTTACTATTGAAGAGGAGGCTATGGAGGAGGTATGCATCACGGGAGATAATCTGCCTGTAGACCCATAAACTATTCTTATAATATTATTTATATTATTGTTGTTGTAATTTATTATTGTTATTGTTGGTGGCGGTGGTGGTGGTGGTGGTTGTGCGCTCCATCTCGCAACGACGGGCAGCAGCAGCGGCTGCTGCAGCATGCAGCAGCGTACTTATGCCGCTGTTGCTGCGGTTGCTGCTGCTGCTGCGGTTGCTGCTGCTGCTGGGAATGATACTGCTGGGCAGCCTCTTAGTTCGTCCTGTTTCGGTGGGGCGTAGTTCAGCTCCAAGGAGCCGCTCGAGGCACGGGCGACACTTGGTGCATGCAGCAGCAGCAGCAGCAATAAGCAGCAGCTGCAGCATTAAGGAGCAGCAGCAGCAATAAGCAACAGCATTAGCAGTAAGCAGCAGCAGTAGCAAGCAGCACGTGGCGACAGCTGGCGGCAGCTGCAACGGCGCCAGCAGCAGCAGCAACTAGCAGCCAAAAGCTGCAGCTGCAGCAGGAGCAGCAGCTAGCTGCTTCAGCATGTAGCGTCTGCTGTGTCTTTGTGTCGCCGCTGCTGCTGCTGCTGCTGCTGCTGCTGTGGAGCGAACAGCAAAAGCTTAAAGAAAACCGACATTTTCAGGTGTATGTACACTTCATACAAACTGGAAACGAAATACTACAACTTAAATGCGCAGTGCGAGGTGTACATACACCCCAGTTATACTGCTGCGTTTTGTTGTTCTTCTTTCTTTTCTCTTTAGGGTTTAGGGTTTAGCTGTAGGCGGGCCGATATAAACAAAGTACCATAAATAGATGATGTGTATTTATATGTATATCTGTGTATATAACAATAAGTACATATGCGCCTCTATAATATTGGCGATAATACATCTATGTGCGTAAGTAAATACACGCCTCTCCCTGTATATAAACAATACTACTCTTATGTGTATAACTCTAATAGACGCCCCTCTATAAGACAATGGAACATTATATATATATATATATATATATATATATATATATATATATATATATATATATATATATATATA